CCGCGGGAGGGCCCCGCACAGAGGACGGCGTGGATGGCGGCTGCGCGGCGGCGGCCCCGGGCCCCGACGCCGAGCGCGGGTCTTCACAGGAGGGGGCCAGCCTCCGGGAGCAGGAGGCGCGGCTGGAGAGCCGCCGCCGCGCGCGCTCCTTCTCGCTGCCCGCCGACCCGATCCTGCAGGCGGCTCAGTTCCTGCAGCAGCGCCAGCCGCCTGCCCCGAGCGCGGAGGGCGGCGAGGCGGCCGAGGACGCGCCGCTCGGTCCGGGCGACTGCTGCGCCAAGTGCAAGAAGCGGGTGCAGTTCGCGGACGCGCTGGGGCTGAGCCTGGCCCGCGTGAAGCACTTCAGCGAGGCCGAGGAGCCGCAGGTGCCGCCCGCCGTGCTCTCACGCCTGCGCAGCTTCCCGGCGCGCGCCGAGGACCTGGAGGGGCTCCCGGGCCTGCTGGCTGCGGTGGGGGCCGCGCCCCCCCGCGCGGCGCCGCCGCCCCGGCTGCAGCCCCTCTTCGAGCTGCCCGGGCCGAGCGCCGCGGCTGCGCGCCTGCGGAGACAGCGCGTATGCCTGGAGCGCGTGCAGTGCGCGGCGCCAGGCGGCGCGGAGGTGACCGGCTCGGGCCGGGTGCTGGGCTGCCCCGGGCCGCGCGTCGTGGCCGTGCGCTACACCTTCACCGAGTGGCGCTCCTTCCTGGACGTGCCGGCCGAGCTGCGGCCCGAGCCCGGGAAGCCTCTGCCGCCAGACGCGCCGTCGGGGGAGCCTGGGGACGCCGAAGAGGAGGAGGAGCCCGGCGCCGAGCGCTTCCACTTCGCGCTGTCCCTGCCCCCGGGCCTGCTGCCCAAGGAGGGGGAGGACGCGGACTCGCCGGGGCTCGCCGTCCACTTCGCCATCTGCTACCGGTGTGCCCAGGGCGAGTACTGGGATAACAACGCGGGGGCCAACTACACGCTGCGCTCGGGGCGCCCGGCCGACGCGCTCTGAGCCCGCGGGGCCGGGCCGACGGCGCGCGGGGCCCAGGTAGCCGGGCATCGTCCCCCCGGGGAGAGGGAAGACCTCACTTCAAGCTCGTTGGCACCCAGACAGGTCCTGCCAGCAAGCACGGAGCCCGGGCCAAGCGCCCTGCCTTCTCGCCGCTTTGGCCTTTGGAATTCTCGCCCCGCATCGAACGGGAAGAAATCCTCAAGATTCCGAGCAGTGACTTTCTCCACGGGGGGGAAAAAAAGACTCCTGAGCGAGGCTGCAAACCCTTGGGATTTGTTTTTAGCTGTGGACGCCCCCTCAGCTCTCATGGAGAGGTGGAAGGATCGTGCGGAGGGCCGGCGTGGAGAGCGGGTCAGCGGGAGCCTTCGCGTCGCTGCCTTTTCTCTTAATTGAGATCTGCGAAGTATTTGCGCTTGCATACGGATATCCTGCTGAAAATTTAAGGCCACGTGCATGTCTACTACTTGATATTTCAGCTCCTGGCAGTTTGGGAGGCCTTGGCAGTTGGGCCATCTTCAGTGGATGCTGCTGCACTTTAAAATCATCAAAGCACAGTATTTTCAGATTTCCCTTGTCCCATCCCTCCTCTCTGATATGGAAAGGGCCTAGATTTTCCACAGTGGGCTAGAGTGTTCTTAAAAATGTTTTGTAGAAGTCGTTCTTTCCCCAGGCAGAACAAGATCCGTGGTGAGCTGAAACGCCAGAGTGCTCGTCCGGCCTTGGCTATGATCCGGTCTCTGGCCTCCAGCCCCTTTGTGCCGGCAAAGCACACGGTCGCTGCTGGACTTCTGGGCCCTCAGCAGTCAGAGAATCTGGACTCTCAGTGGCTGGACTCCATGGCGGGAGATGAGGGAAGGAAAGGGCTTTCTGTGCCTCCTGGAGCCACAGTGGGGAGTGGTGACTTGAAGGATGAAGCCTGCCCACCCAGAAGATCCTGCTCTGAACCCACTGGGCACCTTGCCCAGGCTACGACTGTGGGCATCAGTCTGGTTGGCAGTCTTCATTCACTGCTGATGGCCGTGGATGTCAGGATAAGGTGGCCATGCACGACCAGGGCTGGTGAGCCTCCTGAGAACTTGACTTCTTCAAACCTCTGTCATCCCTTGGTAACCTGCCTTTCTTTGGTTTTCACGTGTTCGGGTACATGGCTAGTATAGTCAGCTCCGTTTTGCAACGCTAATCTTCAGGGAGTGGTGGTTTCACTGCTGCTCTCTAAGAACCAGGGTAGGCAACCTACAGCCCACAGGCCAGATGCAGCTGGAAGGCATTCATGTAGCTGAGAGCTAAGAATGCCTGTTACGTTTTTAAATAGTTGGAAGAATTCAAAAGAATACTATTTTTGTGACACATAAGAAGTGTACAAAATTCACATTCCAGGGCCCGTCAGCACAGGTTTGTAGGAACATAGCCATGCACATTTACGTACATGTTATCCACGATCACTTTCCTGCTACAAGTGCGGCGCTGAGGAGATGCAGCAGAGATCACACGGCAAACTCTGAAATATTTACTATTTGGGCCTTTGTAAAGTCTGCCCTAGAGAAGTAGTGTTTGTTTTTTTTTTAACTATATGTTGAGAGTTATACTTAAAGCAGTTAAACTTTTAGTAAAAGTTTGTTACTTGACATTAACCTCCTTTGGGTAAAGGTAAAACTGGTTGCATTCCTCTTGGTAATCTTGGTTGATTACAATAAAACACTCAGACACCAAATGTACAATTATTCCTTTACTGGGGAGGGGAATCCATCTGCTGCTTCTAAGAAATAGCAGAGGGACTTCCCTGGTGGCCCAGTGGTTAAGAATGCAGGGAATGAAGGTTTGATTCCTGGCTGAGGAACCAAGATCCCCTATGCTGCAGGGAAAAGAAAAAAAAAAAAAAGAAATAATAGAAGGTCAAGACAGCTGCACTATGGCACCCCTCGGAATTAACATCAAGCTACAAAAAGCTGCCAGATATTTCCATGCCTCAAAATGGGATGTCTCAAGCTATAGAAATATTTAGTTTGAACTCTGGTTTGTAAAATATCCTTTTTGACTATGGCGGTGTTTGCCAAAGGTAACTGATCATGGAAAAAATTTAAATACTGATTTATGAGTGGAAAGCCATCAGAAGTTAATGAATTACAATTTATAGTTTTAGTAAAGCAGACTAAAAAAAAAATGGTCATGTGGATGACCTAATGTGCTTATAAAAAAACTTTTTAATGATAAAGTGGCCCAGACGGAAAGAAACCGCCTGCAATGCAGGAGACCCAGGTTCTACCCCTGCTTGGGAACTTCCCCTGGAGAAAGTGAAAGTCGCTCAGTCGTGTCCGACTCTTTGCGACCCCAAGGACTGTACAGTCCATGGAATTCTCCAGGCTACAATACTGGAGTGGGTAGCCTATCCCTTCTCCAGGGGATCTTCCCGACCCAGGAATCGAACTGGGGTCTCCTGCATTGCAGGAGGGTTCTTTACCAACTGAGCTATCAGGGAAGCCCACTCCAGTATTCTTGCCTGGGAGAATCCCATGGAGAACAGAGCCTGGTGGCCTACAGTCCATGGGGCAGCAGAGTTGGACACAACTGAGTGACTAACACTTTCACTTTCAAGCAATTATTAGAACTACATAATTTTTCTGCTACTAAATACAAATGCAATCAAGCGGTTTTTTTTCAATGTCTGATATTGGGTCTGGCCTATCACTTCCTTTTTGAAAGTGCATTACTGCATAATAATTACACCTAGATAAATACATTTTCTATTTTTCTTATGAATACATTTTAGTTGAAAAGTATTGATAGTGTAAATAGCCTATAATACAGTTTGAAATGATAGTTCATATGGCAGCAATGCATTACTTTGGATTGTTTTTGATTACTAAATTAATTTTTAAAATTAAATTAGGAGAACAATATTATGATCAAAATAGAGACCCTCTTATCCTGTATCTTTTAAAATAGTAACCCATTAAATCTAGAATAAAATACATGAGAAATGAATTTTTAAGAAGCCATGTACAGCAAAAATTTTATTCTTATAAAAACCATTACTGATTTTCAAAATTTTATTTTGGAATTCAAACAATTTTAAGATGACTTGTTTCATAATATAAAAACTTCAAACTGTTCTGTTTGGGAACTGTTTGTGCTGAGAGTTATATTTGGTAAAGTATAACTGTTAGGAAAGAAAACCTGGATTTGCTCTCGCATAAGTCTTAGAGGTTAGCTCTTCTAAGGCTCAGGTTACAAAGACCTGTAAAATACAGTGAACAGCCCAGACTTTCTACATGTGGTTATAGCCTTTCAAAGCTCTAGAACTGGCAATCTTCTAAATGTCAACCTTATTTTTATAAAGTGCCAACTTCTCACTGTAGATTGATACCAAACACTTTGCAAAGAAATGTTAGGACGTTAAAATAGCTCTTTATTGGTTTGTTTTTGAAAATTCTCAAAGGAAGGCGCAGTACTGATGGGCATGAGGAAGTGTTTAAGAGTGTACTTCCCGAATGGAACGAACACACACATTTATCCCCAAAGCTAAATTCCCACAGTGCAGCTGTGGCATTTTTGCCGTAATATTTATCACAACTTGTTAAATGAGGGTCACTCTGCTTGAGCTTCAACACTCACCCACCTCTAGTGATCAAAAACTAGAAGTTCTGCTCAGCTCAGCCGAGGACCCTGACTTTTACCAGAGGGACTTGAGTTTCTTCTGTTTGGGCAAGGTGGGGCCCACAGGTCAGGGGACGTTGTGTGAAGCGTGTGTCCCAGTCCAGAGCATCAGAGCAGTGCTTGGAAATGCAGCCGTCTGTGCGGACAACTCTGATAACCCCCGGGTTTATGAAGCAAGGTGACCAAGATCTAACTGAGGATCCCGGCCGAGCCCTGGGGACGCCAGGCAGCTCTGCGCGGGCGGCAGGACCGCGGCCCGGGAGCCGTCCTGCAGCAGCGGGCGGTGGGCAGTGGTCATCCAGAATCCGGCTGCAGGGCCTGGGGAAGCTTCTCCTGAAACACAGGTGTGCTTGTCTTCCCACCTGGCCACGGCCCCGCCTGCGGTACCCCTCCTGCCCTGACTGGGGGAGGCAATGCTGTGGGCTTGAGCCACGCAGACCCTGCTGCTCGTTTAATTTTTGGAGGTTTATTTTGGACTCCCGCTGTGTCACTGTAGGAGTTTCCCATCTTTCTGCCCTGGCCCAGCGGCGTTTATGTATTTTAGCATGCTCGGTTTTCTCATCCCCCCACTCAGTTGCTTGTTTCTCAGGAGCGTGTGGCTTGGAGCCATGTAGGGTACTGTGACCAGTGCCGTGTGTACTTTGCCAGGAGTGCAAGGAACAACCTTTGGGAAGAAACGGGAGGTTTTGCTCTTGCGCAACATCACGGTACTGGTGTGCGTTTTTGGCTCACATCGTGGAACACGGGTTTGTAGGTTAAAAGGGGGCACCGTGCGTGCTGTAGCTTGGCAGGCGGCCCTGACAAACAGCGGGCTGTTTGCAGTCCAGCTCTGCCCAGCCAGCCCCCGTGACGCCAGGCCTGGACGGTCCGCCAGCATGGGGGGGTGCTTTGTGCAGTCACAGTGGCAAGGGGCTGTGGAAACTGGGCCCAGCCCAGTGCCCCCCCCTTTCCTCCTGCAGGGCCATCCTGGCCTTACTGTCAGCAAGTGGGCCTGAAGCCCCTTTGGGAGAGGCCGGCCCTGCTTCTCCTCGGCATTGGTGATGGATGGACACACTCCACCAGGTGACCTGCTGTGTCTCCACGTCCTCCTCCAGGCTCCCTTCTGCTGATGAGTGGACTGTCAGGACGCAGCCCTTTGTGGTCCTTTAAGCCTCCCAGGCTGGCGGCCGGACAGCTAAACACTGTAACTTTAGGCTCATTAGGACCGAAAGCCCTTTGAATCTTTTTGATGTAGTATTTGCATCCTGTAGCATTAGTTCTTTGGCTTCACCCTCTGTGAACAGACACATTTTTGGTAAAGAAAGAAATGAATCACCTTTGGGTTTTGGGGAGACATCTGAGATGGC